ATACTACAGTATTTTTGTATTAGCGCTCCAACTGTAATTAGCTGTTTTTTTCTATAACAAATAAAAATACATTGAAAAAACTTCAGATTCTTGATCATAATTAATCAGACAAGAACAACCAGCTGTTTGACATTATTTCAGTTTTGATCTAATGAGCCCATTGTTGACATTGTTGGGTTTTTTTTTAAATCAGCATGAGCTGAAAGTGACTGAAATGACCCATCTGTTTATAAAAGGATTTTCAGATAAAAGAAACAAATCCACTTTTTACTGGCCGTGTTCTCAGGCCTTAAAGTAGTTTCTAAGCTTTTTACATCCATCTTAAACCAATTACCAGATACCTGCTGGCAGTGAAGAGTGATCTTTCAAATGTGTTTTTAATGACGACGAGGCCTTCACAATTAGATTAAACTTTGATAAAACTTCCCAGCTGTAACTCAACATTACAGATGACTGAGTTCACTTGTTTTGATCTGAATAAACACAGGTTCATTTGAGATCAGAATTTCACAAAACAGATTACTTGAACAAGAAAAAACAACACATTTAATATAGTAAGATAATGTTAGTCTATGTTACAGTTTCATTGATTATCATTAATGGTGAAACGTAATAAGAAACAATAAAAGTATGAACTAGTTTTTAAAGTTTCTCAGACTCTCTGTGGGATTTTCAGTGAGTTTTTATTTTCATTCATCCATTCTATTGTTGTTTAGTCTATCGAGATGTTGAACCTCTGCTCTAATAGGCTCCTAAACTCCTAAACTTAGCAAAGAAAGAATTTAGTGTTGAATTTTGAGTAATAAGCTTGCAAAAATAGCTGGTAATTTTCGATCAGATTTTCTTCACCCACAGTTCTATTCGGGGTGGCTGAAGAGCTGCCTCTGTGTGAGAGGCAGGGGACATTCAGGTCAAAAGTCCATCACAGGACCATGATGAGACAAACAAAACAAGAACCATTCATACACTCACACCTAGGGATGATTTAGAATGATCAGTTATTCTAAACTGCATGTTTTTCTGAAGTACTTGGAGAAAACCCACACATGCAAACTCCACACAGAAAAGCTGCACGCAGGAGATGATCCTGTGATCTTCTGTCTGTGCAGCAGCTCTAACTGCACCACAGCTGGAAATTTTACCAGCAGCTTGTCTCGAAGACACAAGTTGTTCCCTTTTCTTCAATTGAATCTATGAAAAAGACCTAAATACAACACAACTGGTGAATGATTAAGACTTTTTTGCAAGGGGTTGCACAGGTGGTGTTTTTTTTAAAGGGGAGCATATAAATAAAGAAAAAAAACTATGGGTTTTAAAATTCCGTGTGGTCACCACAGCTTAATTCACATGGCTTTCTAATCATATAAGAATGATCAGAAAACATGCTGAAAGCTACTCACAACTTATTGAGTCATTTTTAGACATACAAAGCTTAAGATACGTGTAGAAGTAGCATAAAACAATCTTTACCAAAATCTAAATGCCAATCAAAAATCCAAGATGGCCACTACAGCTAACTTTAAAAGTCTAGAATTCAGCTATTTCATAACTTATTGAGATTAAATTTGTTGTGGAGTAGCTAAGCATCACGTGCCCTTTGTTGTTTATAATCCCAAACTTGGCTAATGCTAATGCTAATTTTACAAAGGGCTATAATTCAGCCATTTTTTAAATATACACAGCTAAATATATTTATATAATTACAGTATTATCATATAACAATCTTTAACAAAAATCTAAATGTAAATAAAAAATCAAAGATCCCCATCCACTTGTCAGTTATATGGGGGTGACACCTGGGGTGGCCAATCAGGTGCCAGAGGTGGCACTTGCCACCCCAGCCACCCCTGTGTCCACCTCTGACTGTGCTGACAATCAACAGTAGATGCATCTCAGGTTTTTGCTGGACTTCTCTCCTTTTCCTTAAAGAGTTTCAGACTGCTCATCTGCTGAAGATTTTTCTTTTAGGACAGATTTTTTTAATCTTCTCCTCTGTCAATTTTTTTTTTCATTTTTTTGCCAGTATTGCAAAATATACTGTCATTTTTAGGTACAGAAGCTGAGTAAACAAACAAGTAGCCAAAATCCCTCTTAAAACCCATTCAGACTTTCAGAAAGCCTTAATAAAAAATCTCATCAGATTAAGATTATAATAAAGTCTGCCTCTTTAGAAACAAAACAGAATTTAGAGGTGGTTACAAATATATCTACTAACTAAATCACAGCCATTAATAGTTTTATGATGATTTGCCTTCCTTCAAACCTCAGGTGAAATAATATGCACAAAATATAAATTTTGTTAAAAGAGAGAGCAGTTACCCTGGTTCCGTACGAGCCTGAAGGAGCGATCCACTTTAATCCAGGGAATAAGTTTGTGGAACGGTCTGGAAGATGAGGTTAAAAATGTCAGATCCTTGTATATTAAACAGAATGATAAAATCTAGTATTCTGAAGAAATATGGAGAAGCTTAAGTGAATTAATACTAATTGTTGTTTTGAGTTGGTGTTTTAAATTTAGCTTTGTTTTTAGTTTTTTGTATGTTTTCAGTTGTTTTGATTTTTGTTGTAATTTACTTTTATTTTGAACATATTTTGGGTATAAAAAAGGGGCAGATATCATAAGATTTATTTGTCTTCTGCTGCCTTTCATTTTTATTTTTATTTTATTTTGATTGCATGTTTTTTTTTGTTGGGTATTGTTACAAATAAAAATGAATAAATGAATGAAAAAAACATGCTTATGTCCTTTTTGGAATAAACTAAAGGATTAAGTGCTCTCTTCAAGGCTGAGAAAATCTCCTGGCTTCTTACAAACTATTTAAAGCCTGTTTGTCATGGATGAAAAATGTACCGTAACAAAGCAGAAAACAAATTTCAGGTTGTGTTCTGGAGTTATCCTTCCAAGACAACAATTAATCTTCTCTTTACAACACAGCATTAAAATGTACTTAGAACACGAAGGACAATGAGTACTTTTACTTACAATGCTTTGAGTACATTTTGCTGATGCTATCATTTCTTACTAATGAGTTTGGATGGGGGTCTTCAGAGATAAAGGATAATTTTCACATGATGGTATTTGGGTTTTTGAACAACACAAACAATTCTTCCACAACTTTATTATCAAAAACAAATTTGGATCAGTGAAAATATGCTGTTAGGGGCACCTGAAGAGATTTTTTTATCAGTATGGTTTCCGATTTTTTTCCTCCATTATTATTTCAGCTGGCAGCCTCTGAATGATCAAAAAATAATAATTCAACAGTCTCTACAGGCATCACCCTTTAACTTGAACATGATGGACCTGTTGTGAAATGTCTTCAGACGTCATCGACAGCAAAGTCTGCAGGTTAAAATGTGCATCGTGTAAACTTTAACAATTGTGCTCTTTGTGTCAACAAAATGCAAAAATGCATCAAGATGAAAACTCCAGCTGCATTTAAAGCAGAGCCTAAACATTAGCTCAAGTGTAATCTTGATGTTTTATTTCAAATTCATGCAACACTTGCGTCAAAACATCGAACATTAACTCAAGATGCTTGTATTAAGCAAACTTGGAAAACGAGAAACAAAAAATTACATTTTCCCACAGAATTACCCTATTTAGTTTCAGTTCTGTTTATTTTCATCTAGATAAAGTTTGAGAAATCCCTTCTTGAACTTTGCTGGAAGCAAAACGTGAAGAACAAAAATACCAAATCTTAAAAGTCGGGCATTTGCTTATCTGAAGCTTTTAGTTATATATCATTTTAAAAAAAACCTCGTAATTCTGAATAAAGACACACATTCAATATGGAATGCTGGAGTGTTTTCAAGTTCAAATGTGCTCATTAATGTGTTCATTATTTTAAAAGAATGACCATGTCAGTTTATTCATTAACTGCCCTGCCAACCCTCACAGCTCAGATAGTGATTGATTTAACTCAGAGATGCCTTCAGATCTTTCATACTGAACAGCCAACAAATTAAATGTGGAACATGAGTTTCACTTTCTTCTGTTTTCCCATGAAATGACTCCGTGGGTTCAGTTTAGGTTACATACTTCAGAGATGAAACAGAAAAAAACGAAGGGAGGCTCAAGTCAGCACAACTTTTGATGCAAAACAGGGAACTAAACATCAAGTTAGCTCAGAAAAAACAGAGTATGAACAAAGCACTTACCAGAACTGTCATGTTGCATCACATCCTTTTTGTGATGAATAAAGTCTCAGATAAAATTGGGGGGTGGGGGTGGGGGTGGGGGTGCAACTTTTGGATGAAGCATTGAATGTGTTCGTCTGAGATTTCGGTCTGTTGGTGAAAGTTGATGTGCGACTCATTTTGAAGATCTCACCTCCAGATGCTGCGATGACTGTATAAAATTTGATACACAATCAAATTAGTTCTATGGGAATTAATCACAGCATTGTGTTAAAGCCCACAGCAGCATCCGTTTAACGTGGTGAAAGAAATAAATGTTATCCGTGTTCGTTACCAGGATGTGTGCGAAACCGTACAGAGAATGTGCAAATGCAAGGAGAGAGTTTTAAAGAACAGCCATACAGAACCAAAGAGCGCTCTTTGCCGATGTCCGGTTTAATGCTACCAGGAAATCAGACCGAATACAGAAATGCAAGAAGTTTTATCATAAGCTTCAGGGCATGACTCCGCCTAATTGATTACGTCGTCAGTAAGGAGGGGGTCCCTGTCATTTTTGTCAAAGCCATGCCCTCAAACAAAAATAAACCTATCCTAATGATTTAAAAGTTCAATATGAGTTTTTAAAGGGGACTGTTGGGTATTTTCCAGGCACATTGCTCAATTCTATGCCACAATCAAGCAACCATGTTACCTTCTGTTGTAATGAAAATGTTGTACATACAATGTCTCTTTAAGAACTTGCTGTTTCAGACACTCCTATTTCAACACATCTTCCCTATAATGCTTCATGCCGTTTACAACCGTTCATAGGAGCATTATAAAAGGGTCTCCTTGGCATTGAAAAAAAACAACAACAGTTTTTTCAATGAAGGCATTTTTCAGTCCGAAAAGGACTGGACTGCAAGTATAGTCATACATGTCAAGTTGTACAGATTGTCCGTAATTTACACGGAAAGAGCAAACTCACAGATTTTCTCAAGTTTTACAGATTTTTTTCAAAAACTCAGTTTCAGATTTATTGAACAAGTCAGTGCCTGTAGGACATAAAAAACAAACAATAAATAACATCAAATAACCATCTTCCAAACCGCTCTGTCACTATAAGTTCTCTCATCCTCATCTCCTCCTGCTGCTGGTGCTGTCAGCTCCAAGGAGCAGTCTGCTCCCCCACCCCACAAAACACGAACCCGAAGGGGTTCACATGTATGAGTAGTTAGTATTACAACTCAACAGACATGTGTGGGGGAATAGGTGGTGCTTTCTATGAGCAAGTGTTTAGGTGGCTCCAAATGTCTACCACAGGAGATTCAAGGATTTCTCAAACATGCATGAATGAGTCAAAACAACAATCTGGGTATTTTTTGATTAGGGGACAATGTAACGTAATATAAAGCTCCAAAAAGTGTATTTTGCCCCCCACCCCAAGACCAGAGTTGTAAAGTAACTAAGTACAAATACTTTGTTACTGTACTTAAGTAGGATTCTTGGGTATTTGTACTTTACTTGAGTAATTATTTTTCAGCCTGCTTTTTACTTCTACTTCTTACATTTTCATACAATTATCTGTACTTTATACTCCTTACATTTTTTCAAAAAAGGCAAGAAGTCGTTACTTTTATTTCATATTTGCTTGTTTTCATTCCAGCTTGTTATTGTAAAAAATAAATACTATTCATATGAATTGTGCCTCCTAGATAGAGTGAATTTTATTGTGGTTGAATGAGAAGTATAAACATATAAAATTCTGATACTGTATTAGTTTGTACACAAATAAATCATGTCACACTCCAGCAGGACATAATCATTAAAATAAAAGGACTGTATTTAAGAAGTATTTGTATTTCATGAATTATATTATTGCATTTGGCCGCAGCCCTCAGATAGATTTTCATTTTGGAGAAAAGGTTTCGGCAGCCTTGATATAAACTGAAATAGCTAAACTAGTGCATCCTAATTTTAACATAATTTAAACATTATTTTAATACGACAGTCACTTCTGTATTTTTTGGGGGAGGTCACCTCCTAATAAATGTCATTACGTAAATTCTAACTGTTCATTTTAAATCAATAATTTTACTAAATATTCAAGTACAAAAAATATCAGATACTTTAATACTTTTACTCAAGTAATATTATAAGAGGAGAGTTTAACTTTCACCAAAGTAATTTTATGGTGAGATACTTGTACTTTTACTCAAGTATCACTTTGTGGTACTTTATACAACACTGCCCAAGACCTACTAAAAAATGGGTGAATTTCTAAGTGTAAAGTGCTTTGGAATCCAAAGGGGACTTGATAAAGGGTCATATAAGTTCAGGCCATTTATCATTTACCATTACCAGAGTGAAGTCCAAATCATGATCAGACTGGACAATGAAAAAAATGACAGAAGGTCATTGCTGATGTACAGTATTTCCTTCTTGGCATTCTGATAATACACACCTGTATGCAACAGACCAACAAAAATGCTACAACTTCTGTTTTTATTGGCTGTTCACACCTCCTGATAATCAGTTAATAAAGTGAATTCAAATAGCATCACAAGGCTAATATTTTCCATCCCAAGCATCGTGAATGAACTCACTATTTAACACACAGCTTTTCCATTTTGGCTTGAATTTTGTTTAATAAAGATTTACATTATGAACAAGCTGTGCCGTTTTGTACACTTGAGGTGAAGCTTCATTAACTTTAAAACCTGACCAAACATTTTTAAATGTGCACTGAAACTTAAAACCCTGGATTTGGAAGAGAGTAGACTCTTTCTCATAACTGTGGAATTTATTTCTAAATAGAAGCTTTGAGTTCCAGAAGAAGTATTTTGAGTTCACTTTAGGAGGCTTTCAAATTAATTTTCACAAGGAACTGTATGACCCAATATGGAAGTGTTTGGCCAGTTGATACTAAATTTCGCTTTGTTGACCGTTTCTTTCACCCTGTTAGAATCCCAACGGACTCTCTCTCAGAAAAGGATGATGCCCAAATAAGGTAAAGCAAAATTTCACAATCAATGCAGGCTTGTTTTCATGATCTTTAAAAAAAAATTGTCATTCATCCAGAACTCAAAGCTGATCCTTCGCTGCCAAACACAACTACCAATGAGCTTGCTCACTTGAGTTTATGTTTTGGCTCGATGTGAGAATCTCAGAAGGAAAAATACAAACTAAGCTAAGTGTTGTGAAAGGGTTTTCAAAGAAAAGAAGGTCAGACAACAAAAGTCAAGTTATTTTTTATTTCTAATACCTTTTTTAATTTTCTGTTATGTAGGATTAACTGGCTCAAAAATGACATTTTTCACAATAATTATTTGAACACTTCACTGTATTTTATGTTTTTTTTCCTCCTAAATACATAAACATTTTTTCTGTCACATAAATCAATATTAATAGAATTTGTTGCCAAGTTTAAAAAAATGCTTCTGTTCTGTAGATTTTTCAGGTGAAAGTAACATTGCACAAGAATGAGATTCCTTAAAAGAAAAAACAGCAATCCAAAACCTCTTCTTGGCACTTATTTGAACAGTGATAATATCTGAGTGTTGGCTCGACACGATGTGAACATAATCATGTGTGAACAGGCAGCAGGCTGAAGGTTCATTCAACACCTTATTGTGAAATAGTAAGTCATTGAGGTTGGCATCAGAACAGAGCAGGTGCACACAAACACTGGCAGATCTGGCAATAAATATGAAGGTGAGGATAAGAGGCAACGATTGACACCTGATTCAGAAACACTGGTGAACCCTGAAGGCAGAGCACAAGTAAAAACAGATGTTTCAATGGTGTAAATGTGAAAATAAATCCTCAGTGAGAAATCCATGTTCCATGTACAATGCAATACAGTGTTTCCTATTTCGCCATTGTTTTTTTTTTTTTACAGAATGTGCCTTGGATCATTTCAAAATCTGTTTCTGAGAAGAGACGAGTTTCATTGAACTTCCAGGGTTGTAGCAAAAAAAGGAATTATTAACAATCACAAAGCAGGTTTCTTTCAGCACAAGTCTTTCAAAAAGTTAATAAATTAATATTTCTACAGTCATTAATGTAAAAGGGGAAAACCTACAGAGCTGATAATTAGGTTGTGGCCACGAGACAATTATGGCATTCCCATGCAGAGGCTGTTTATTGTTCAAATGGACAAGTTTGAATAAATTTAATTTTATATAAATATAGGAATGAATGCCTAATGTAAGTGACATAGAGTCACTTACGTTAGGCATGAAGTAATTCTTAGCATTCAGCTATGTGACACAGGTGACGACTGAAACCCTTTGTCCAAAAAGCTTTATTTTCTTTTTTTTTAAGGTCAACACTCAAAACAGGCTCCTCTCTCACATCAAGCCTTGGCTGCAGGAGTTGGAGTTACGTTGCGTTCAGGAACACAGTAAAAAATTCTGTTTCCTGACAAACGGCATTCCTTTTCATTTTCCTATGCCCATGAAAAATGAACCAT